TGAATTCCCAATGGGCGACATCGGGAAGGATCCTGCGGCGGGGCGCGGTCGCCGAGCGTTGAACCCTCCGCGGCGACATTCCCTCGCACGCGCCCTGCAGGCGTTTCCAGGCGCCGCTCTCAGGCGCACCCAAGCGTTCCCAAGCACTTTGCGCGCTTCCAGTCGCTCCCAAGCGCTCCCCGGCGCTCCCAGGCACTCCCCGGCGCTCCCAGGCGCTCCGAGGCCCTCCCAAGCGCTCCCAGTGCTCCCACGCGCTCTCAACCAGGCGCTCCTCGGGCGCGCCCAGAGGCGTCCAGAGCGCTCCAGTCGTGTTTTTACGCGCCGGAGAGGCAAGGGGGGGAATGCGAAGCGAAAAGTCTCCGGGCTTAGGGGGTTGCATTCGTTGAGGATCACAGGGAGTTCATCGTCGAATCGCGACTCCCCAGAGTGGGGAGGGCAGCCCTGGGCTGCATGGGCGACCCAGTCTGGCAACCAGCTGACGCTTCTCAGAGATGCCCTGTCTCTCGTAGACGGCGACGGTGGTACGCGGTGGGTTGGGCAGATGCACACCGAGGTGCTTGGGAATTAAGGGTTTAGGGTTTTGGGCTTTTGTTCCTGATCCCTGTGTTGACGGACCCGTGCCTGTGCAAAGAAGTGCCGCCCACTGGCGCAAACGTACCGTCTCTGGTGTGATCGGTGGAGTGGTCTGCACAGGCGGGAGCTGTAGTTGTCCACATTGTGAAGTTGGAGCGCGTGCTGGGTTGTCTTTCGTGATGATCGCCAGTGCTGGTGGAACTATTGCTGCAGCCTCGGGACCCGTGCCGTTGCCGTAACAATCCTCTGGCGCTGGAGATATGTGCTGCTAGTCAGGCCATCAAGCACAAAAGTCTGAATGCGATCACGATCGTGATGGACTACAAGGACTTGCTTAGTGCATGGCAAGTGGGATACCCCTATGGCTGCAGAACAGGTCACCACAATGCTGAGCTGTGACGTGAACTCTGGAGAGTTGCGGAAGATGAAAGACTCGACCAGATACAATTCGAGTGGATCCCGCCCCATGTCTCGAGGGTAAGAGCTATCGACTTGGGGTTGTCCTTGGTTTGGTGGACGCGAGCACGACCAGAAGAGCGGCTACGACAACTTCGTGCGCCAGCGGTGCGGTCGACGCTGGCGTCTGTGCTGCGCATCCTGCGGTTGTGCTCAAAAGGGAAGTGGTCTGATGTGAGTGAAGCCCAGGGTCATAGGACTGCACGCGGGCCCTCCCTCGCCTTAAGTGATGGATGGTGGGGACCATCTACTTTGGAGGTTCAAAGGACGGTGGGTTTGCGCGAGGTGCGGAGATAGTCGTGCCGGTCGATCGGATCTGGCTGCGTGTCCCCGTCTTGGAGACCCCAAGGGGGTACGCCAAGCCCACCCGTCCCATAGGCTGTGGAAGACTGGGCAATGATCTGATGCTTTCAATGCACTGTCATATGTGTGTTGCCGAGCGCGTTCGATGCCAAGGCCGTGTCATGGGAGGCCGCCCCTGGGGTCCGCGAGGTGCTGTGAGCTTAAGTACCGCATCCGGGGAAAGGGGCCCTCTGGCGAAGGGGAAGCGCGCCGCGGGCACGCGGTGCGAAGCCACGGCGGACGAGCAACGAATCAAGCCTGCGACGCCGCGCCAGCCATTCTGCAATAGGTGAACTACCACACTCCTCCTCCTCCTCCTCCTCCTCCTCCTCCTCCTCCTCCTCCTCCTCCTCCCCCTCCTCATCTTCCTCTTCCTCCTCCTCCTCCGTGAACCATGGCATGGGGGGGGGAAGGGCGGAGCGCGGCATGAGCGCATATCCGCCGAGGCCAAAACAACCGGCAGCATCGTCGTTGGCATGGGTGTCTCATCCTCACCGTCGTCGGTCCGTCGTCGTCGCCATCAGTCAATCTCAGCACCGCCAGCATCACCGCCATCGTCAAAGGCATGGCCATGTGCATGTTCATCTGTGCCCTCTCCGCCACACACCATGCAACCATTATGCTTAAACTCGTCCCCATGTGAGCATCAAATCACCATACCGCATAGTTACCACATCAGCACCAGCAACATCATCACCAGCACCCTCATTGCCACCATCATCATCAGCATCATCATCATCATCAGCATCATCATCATCAGCATCATCAGCATAATCATCGTCATCAGCATCATCAGCATCATCATCATCATCATCGTCATCGTCATGATCATTATCATTAACATTATCAGTGTCATCGTCGTCACCGTCCTCATCATCAACATCATCACCTCGCATGAAAGTCCACACTTCCTTGATTGGGGCAAAGCAGCTACCAAACGACAATTGTACAATTACCATACGAAATCCAGAGGCGGAAACTGAGAAGTCACGCGTGGTACCTGCAAATCCTGCACATGACACATCCGTGAAGAAGCCATCCACCTATCACAAGGCTGGTAAGCACCACAACTCTTGCTTGAATAAAATGCAACATGCCTGCCCAACGCGCGAGAGGCGTGCCAAGAGCTCCGGCAACGGGCTCGCAGGTAGGGCCGCCCCAGGGCTCCCCAGGCGAAAAATACACCTAGGGGGCCACATGCGAACCCTACCCCTACCCCCACCCTCCCCCTCAGAAATCGTGGGGGGTAGGGGTAGGGATCGCATGTGGCCCCCTAACATCGGCAAAACCCTGGCAAGGTCCCCTCGAGGATGCCGGCACTCACCGGGGGGCGTTCTTCAGGCCCCGCAAGAGAGAGCTTCGGGAGGGCCCCGAGGGAACCCAACGGAGCTGCAAGAGGGCACTCCAGTCGAGATCAACGAGAAGCAGGCCCCAGGATGGCCAGAACAGTCCCAATAAGCTTCAAGATGCAGTCAACCCGTAAAATGAGGACGCACGATGGGGATGCAAGGGCCTTGGAAAGCCATGTTGACGCTTTTCGAGTGGGGTTGGCCAGCAAAAGCCGCCAAGGATGGGCCGAAGGGGAAGGATGCAAAGGTAGCCTTGAAAAATTGCGCATCCTTACTTGCGGATTGACTGTACCTCCTGAATGGCCCAAGACAGCCGCAAGAGCGGCCCCGGAGACCAAAATCCATAAGCCCGCTTAGGTTGTTGAAAGATTTTGGCATTTTTGCCTTTTCAGTCTTCCGACCGCTCCAGACGGCCTAAGAGGCCCCCGAGATCGCCCCAAGCCAGCCCCAGAGGCTCCCAAGACGGCCCCAAGCACGGCCCAAAAGTCCAGACGGCCCAGGAGGCCTCCCAAAAGGTCTCCAGAGGCCGCCAGAGGGCCCCAAGACGCCGAATTGTCAAGCCTTCCCCGAAAAAGGGCCCCGAGGACCTCCAGCAGGCCCCCTCGAAGACCCCAAGAGGCACGTGGAGGCAAAAAAAAGGCTGCCCCGAGGGGCCCCCCAAGAGGCCCCAGGTGGTCCCAAAGATACCGCCAGGGGCCCCCGAGGGACCTCCAAAGAGACCCCAAGGAGCCTCCAAGGTGGCGATTGTCCACGACCCAGTTCGGCCCCAAGAGTGCCTCGAGAGCTATCGAGAAGCCTAGTCCTCCTCCTCCTCCTCCTCCTCCTTCTCCTCCTCCTCTTCCTCCTCTTCCTCCTCCTCCTCGCTCGCCACGAGCACACCCCAATAAAGGAACAAGTATGCAATATGGGCCAGCGGGAAAATCGAAACGAATAGATTCCCATATGAAAGAGATTCGCTTCCCATGTGGCAACAATGCATGTATCGTTTGAAACCCGTGCATTTCCCGTTGGGAATATGCACGTCTTGGCCAACCATTATACAAACCTCGTGTGGCACCCATACATTTGCACATGGACCGTGAAACGAAAAAAACAGCGTGAAAGCTAAACAGATATCAGTCAGATTTTATGATTAAGTGCAGCACGAACAGCTATCATACTGCACAGTTCTCTTACGCAGACTATACACTTCTCATATGCATGATACATCAAGTATCGACTGGCAGCTCTATAAACTTTCAGTAGGACACAACCCGAAGCAACTCTCATATGAAAACTGTGCTTTCCCAATATAAAAAACACTGGCTTCATGGTGGGACGGCAACTCAAGAAATGACCATGTGAAAGCTAGACTAATGAAATATGAACGTGATGCGTGTTTCATGCAAGAAAGTGTGCAGATCTCTGACGAATGCAAACACACAATTCTCATCCGTATGGGTACTACATATAAGTCGTTGGTGAAACCTACGCAGCTATGAAATGATATGTATACCATGTTCAGGTGGAAACGATCAAATACGAAACAGAGACAGCTGTTATATGAAACTGTACACTTTTCATGCGAAAGCCATAGAGAAAGAGTAGGGCGACTGTTCGCTGCTCATTTAGACTCTACAACCTCACACTTGGAACGAAGTAAAGGGGGACCTGCTCCAACTTTGGCAGTGCTGCTTCCCAAAAGAATGATTCCACTCAACAGTGTCGGTTGAAGCCTGGATCGAGCCAACACACTCCACGGGTCCGAGTGTGAGGCTTGAGATGGCGGGTTGTGATTGGTACTAGTCGGCCTTCGGCCGGCTGGGATGTGTTGACGGGCCTGTTTTCCACCACCACCACCATAAGTTGGAGGGGGAGGGGGTCCTCCTCCGCCTCCTCCTCCTCCTCCTCCTCCTCCTCTTCTTCGTCCTCCTCCTCCTCGTCCTCCTCCTTCCCCCGTCCAACTTATGGTGGTGGTGGAAAACAGGCCCATCATGTGTCCCTGTCGACTGGGGTTGGTACTGGTTGGCTGCGATGGGTCCGTCGTGCGGGTGGGCGCCCGCCCCAGCACTCCCTGCCACTGCCTGCGCCCTTCTATCCATGGAGGGAGGGGGGGGTAGGAGAGAGGAGAGGAAGGAGAGGAGAGGAGGGAGGAGCGAGGACCTCTCCTTAGATGGGACCCCTGAGTGCAAGCTCAGGAGGGAGGAGCGAGGAGGAGAGAGGGGAGGGGGAGGTGGGAGGGAGGAGCGGGACGAGGCGCAGCAGCAGCTGCGAGTGCCCCCCCGGCCCGCCGCGGGGGTCCTCGTTCTCCTTGGGAGCGGGCCACTTGGCCGCGAAGTACGGCACCTTGCCCGCGTCGAGTTTCTTGATGTAGCCGTCCATGTCCGAGGTCCTCGCCGCGGCAGGCGGCGCCGGCCGCCCTCTGCTTCCTCTCCGCCGCCCCTTGCCCTGGCCCTCTCACTCGGTGAGAAAGCTACCTTCGGACATGGGAGTGGGCGGCGTCCTCGGAGCACGGGAGCACTCCCCGGTGGGCGCTGGGCGGCGGCGACCCGTCGCCTCCTCGTCCTCGTCATCCTCGTCCTCCTCGTCCTCCTCCTCCTCCTGCTCCTTCTCCTCTTCCTCCTCCTCCTCCTCCTCTTTCTCCCCCTCCTCCTCCTCCTCCTCCTCCTCCTTCTCCTCCTCCGCCGCCTCGTCCTCGTCATGCCGGGCGTCGTCGCCGGGGATGCCAGCGTGCCCGTGCGCGGAGGTCCTCTGTAACCGCCGCCAGCCAGGGCGTCAAATATGGGCGCCGTAACGCAAGGCACGTGATACATGTGAGAAGCTAGAGAATACACCAACGACCATGAAACTACACAGAGAGAGAGTGATGAATTAATATATATATATATATATATATATATATATATATAATGCATGATGCATGCATGCACACATACATGCATACGTACATACATACCCACATACATACATACATACATACATACATACATACATACATACATGCATGCATGCATGCATACATACATACATACATGCATGCATGCATGCATGCATGCATACATACATACATACATACAGACAGACAGACAGACATACATACATGCATGCATGCATGCATGCATACATAGTTATATGCATATCTATATATATATATATACCTGGATGTGTGCACACGCATGTACAGATGCAGTTTATCTTGTGAATTTCACCGTGACAGAGAGCGAGATCTGGCGCCGCCTTCTTACCCACTAAGTGCTCATTATATCTGTCCACCTCCATCTCCTCATCCCCTATCTTCCTCCCCTTCTTAGTGATACAAATCCACCCTCCTACTTGAGCCATGTCTCCGTCTGATTGCTGGCTCGGTCAACCATGCGCGTCTGTCTGCCCGAAGGCACCCCCACGAGGCCAAAACGGTCACAGGCGGTGCCCCGTAGCGGTCCAGAGGCCGACGTTGTAGTCCATGAAAGCATCGAAGTCCTGAGCCACCGACGGGGGCTCGATCCAGCAGAACCCCGCTCCCCCCCCCCGCGCACGTGCGAGAGAACGAGCAAGCGTGGGATCCCGCACCAGGGGGCGTCTGTGCACATGCAGACTGTGCGCATGTGCGCGTGGCGTGCATGTGTACGCTAACGCGTACGATTGCGCATGGGCATGCCATCGAAGCATAAGCATTGTGTCCGTGTATGCGCATGTATATAGCTGGATTGTATCAGTACGCGAAACTAGAACCATGCGCACCTACGCGCTAGCTTAGGTCTTAGTGCCAGCCAAGGCGCTGTCACGAGGCATTGAACCAATGTCGCGATGAGTCTCTTGGGACACCTCTTCACCCCGCCTTGCAACTTCATCAAGCATGTGTCCCTCCCCCCTCTCTTGCCCTCAAGATAATCACTCCTCACGCCTCTGCCTCGCTTATTGTTACACGCTCCACTAATGCAGACCCGATACTGCGATGAGGGGTCTGAGTGCGATGATAACCGCGAGGTTGTCGTTGTCAGCAATGACGAAAATATGTCAGCAATATATCAGCAATGATAGGCGATGGTATGTTGCTTAGCGGCACCTGCAGAGGTGTCTACCGATACGCCCAAGCTCAAGGGCCCTCAAAAGATTGAGCCCAAATAGTTACGAAAGGGCATGTTACCTTCCGTCTGAATATTAGCACATATGCTACACTGCTTACAGATCAGCACAGACACTATTTATTTCACACTCGTGCAAAATTCTTCTGATCTGTGCGTCTGCCGATATAGCGCACTTAGACGTGGTAATGGCACGTCAACAAGCTGAAATGAGACCAGGCGCACTGTGCGCTTGAAAAGTGAGCCGGCACTGGTCAGGTGTGCCTCGTGCTCTCTGGCCTGGTCAGTCGGCTCTTGATGCTGCAAAGCGAGGCGTGTGTCTCGTAGCACTGCCCTGATGGTACTGCCGTCCGATCGCTTGGTGAACTGATCACCGAGCTGTTGATCAGTCGGAACCCAAAAGAGAGGCAGTTGGCTGCGCTGATCGTCAGCGACGAACTCGTTGCTAACTTCCTCTTCTAGTGACTCATTGAGGCCCACTAGGTCGAGCAAAAGGCGCCGCTCTGACAGGAGCTTGGAATAACCGTCTTTGTGCATCATATCGTACAAGCTGGCGCAATCTGTGACCTGAGCGAGCGGCAACAGACTCGGCGGGACGTCCTCTGGATGGGCATCCGGAATCTCTAGCGAAGCGAAAACACAGCGTGTAAACTGAGCACAGCCTAGAGCGTCTACTGCCGACATCGTCTCGGCTGCCAACGTAGATCTACAAACTCTCTTGATGGTGCCCGATCTCCTATCAACGATCCCTGCTCGAGCTCGATCTCCGCGTAGTAGCTTGGCCTCTGCGAGAAAACTCACGTAGCCGGCCTGCGAGCGAATCTTGATCTTCTTGTCCTTACTGGTTGCTCCCATGGTCTTGGCGAGCAACTTGGAGATGGCGCCTTCAGCTGGCTCATCAGCGTTGGCCCAACTGGCGTCGTGGAACGTCACCAAGCACAGAGGTCCACGTAGCTTGGGGAACTCCAAACCCACGTCCGCGTGCTTCCGCGAAGGCTTGATGAGCCTGTTCGTCTCGAGCAAGTCCTGGATGGTGGGCTTGTTCTGGGTTCGCTGCCCCATGGCCACTCCAGCTGCCAGGTCGGGACGAGTCTGCGATGAAAGCCACCCGAGCGCTCCGAGTGCGGAGCGGTTGTCCGAGAACTCGGCTGGCGTAGCATCTAACGACAGTTCCGTCTTACGCTCCTTGCTGAGCGGAATCTCCTCGATGGTGTTCGCGTACTCGGTTTGTCGTAGATGTAGTACTCCTTCTTGATCTCGCCAGGCCTGCTTGCCGCAAAAGGTAAAAGGCAAGCCTCGCCAGTCGCCCCAGGGCAAAAGCTTGTGAAGCCTGTCGTAGAGGCCCGGGTACTTGCGCGAGATCCCCAGCAGCAAGTCGTCCACGTGGGCGACCACCACCGCACAGAGCTCCCCGTGCTGGTCGTAGCCGTAGTACAGCGCTGGGTCCAGCGAGTGCTGGTGTAGGCGAAACACGCACTTGTCGTTCAGCTTCTCCTCCACCGCGAGCAAGGTCCTCTTGAGCTTCGCCCACCACTGCCTCGGTGCCGTCGCCAGCCCGAAAACTCCCTTGAGGATCTTGATCAGCTGCTTCGGGTTGAGCCCAGGCAGACCTTCGCGAGGCTGGGCCATGTACAGCTGCTGGTCGGGCTGCTCGTCGCCTTGCATGAAAGCCGCCTCCACGTCCGCCGCGTAGATCTCCAGGTCGAACCTCTGGCAGATAGTGAAGAACAGCATGGTCGAGTTGCGGGTGACCGTGGGCGCGTCCGTCCGCAGGCCCCCCTGAGCGAGGCGCGGGCCTATGTGACCCCCGACGCAGAGTCGGGCCTTCGCCTTGACCGGCAGCGGATGCTTGTCGGTCCGCAGCGGGGCGTTCTTGTCCCGGTACACGAACCGGCTGGGCAGGATGAGGCTGGGCTTGATCATGCTCCTGATCGCCTCGGACTCCTCGATGGAAAGTACCTGACAAGAGCCATACTTCTGCCACTCGTTCCACTGCTTTGCGGCCGCCTCCCTGAAGAGCTCCCGATCGGAGTCCTTGATGGCTCTCCAGTGGATCTCCTTGTCGGCCTGCTTGCGCTTGATCCTCTCGGTCATGATGGAGGTTTGCAGTACTTGTCTTGGAGCCGACCTCGAGCGTTGGCGGGCTCCTTCTGCTTCGGGTCCGGCTGCTGCCTCTTGACCGGGCGCCGCCGCGCGGTCGCGCGAAGCTGCCCTTGCGGGCAGGGCGCCAGAGCCTGCGCGCTCCCTCTCGGTCTGGAGGCGCTTGAAGGCCGGGCCGAAAACGCCGCTGTCCCCTCCGTCGAAGGTAGCTCGACGTCGTCGGAACTCGTCAGGGCCGTAGGTTCGCTCTTCTTCAGCTTGCTGCGGCACGTCGGCGGGCAGCACCTGGATCTGCTCCTGCCGGGGCGGATCCTCGGAGACATTCAGCCTGAGGTCGCTGTCGTCCGGGTTGTCGATGAATTCCCGCCACGCCTGCTCCATCTCGTCTGGCTTGACCTCGGGCTCGCCAGGCGCCGGGCGGATGTCCTCCACCGGAGCCTCTTCCTGTTCGAGCGAGTCGCGAGCCCGGTTGAGCTCGGCCACGGCCTGACCGATCTCGCCCCTGCCGTTCGGGAACCAGACGTCGTCCGGAGCGAGTGCCTTGATGTGCTCCGGAGCCACCAGCATGGTGTGCCCTCCTAGCGAGACCCAGGTGTTCTCGCCTTGGTGGCCGATGACTACGCACGGCCCTCGCCAGATGCCCTTCTTGGCGTTGCGGTTGTGCTGCTCCCGCTGCTCCTTCTTCTTGACCTGGCGGAAGACGTAGCGCATCTCGCCCACTGACAAGGGCGTCGCCACCGTGCGCGCGCGAGCCAACATAGCTCGCCGGAGCTGGTCGTCGTTCTGCATCCTCATGAACGACTCGCGCGCCGCCGTCCGAATAGCATATCGTCGGCGAATCTTCTCGTCGTTGGCCGCGAGGCTGTGGGCGCTGTAGTTGGCCGTATCATCCACTAGGTATCCGGGCATCTTGGGGTCGCGCCCCAGCACCCACTGCGCGGGGCTGAAGCCTGCTCGCCTTCTCAGCGAGTTCTTCGCGCCCGAGACCATGATGGCCAGCGTCCGCATCTCGTCCTCGCCCCTGATCGACGAGTGCTCGATCGTCCTCGCCGCGAGCTCCTTCCACCAAGCTCCCTGGCGTTCCACGCGACCGAGCTGCCAATGTGCCTGACCGGCGATGGGCAGCTGCACCGTATTGAATGACTGGAACAGCTCGCTGAGGGCGCCGCCGAACCCCTTCTCCATGTCGAAGTGGGCTCGGTCCGGCACGCCCGCCCAGGAGGCCCAGCACCTCTCGAACGCGGCGGCGAACTCCTGGCTGGTGTGGCGACCGATCAGCGTCGCGACGTGGAAGGTGGTGGCCAGGTCAACGATACTGAAGTACCAGTAGCTCTTGCCGTCGACGTCCTTGAGCTCGAAACAGTCGAAGCCGACATCGTCTCCAAAATCTTGCACGAAGTGGAGGTGCGCTGGTCTCCTCGCGCTCGGGCGCTGCTGCGAGCGGCACACCCCGCAGATCAGCCCCTTGACGGCCTGGACGGTGGCCGACTTAGCGCCTTTGAGTCGCAAACTGCGGCCCAAATCTTCATTAGACGGATGGCCCAAGTTGACATGGAGTCTCTTGAGCATGGCCAGCTCGGCTGGCTTGCAGCAGGCCGCTGCTCTCTTTGTGAAGGTAACCGCGCCGACCCCGATCCTGCCGTCCACAGTATCTTCGGCCCGCACGTCGTGAGTGTCGGCGACGTCGTCTCCGCCGCCCATGGGGTCTGGGTCCCTATCAGGCTCGCCCGTCTCTCCCAGGGGCGCGGTGTCGCTCACGTAGGCGGTGGCCTGCTCCCTGGGCACTGTCACGACGAAGGGCGACGAGTGCGACTGGCAGTCCACCTGGTAGGCGCGCTGCCCACCTTGCTGGCGAATGACCTGCTCCACGATGCGCACCACCGCTCTGCAGAACTTAGCAGGATAAACGCCAGACTTGCGCACCGCCACGTTGTCCCCGAAGGTCTGGTCGTGGTGCTTGCGGCTGCAGGTGCGCTTCAGCTGCTCGAACTCCTTGTGGGTAACGAGCAGCTTCGTGGGGTGCTTGATGAGTCCCCCCGTCTTGTAGCGTCGAGCTCCGTACTCGCACGTGTCGCGCCTCACCTGGTGCACGCGCTCGTCCGCCAGTAGCTCCAAAATCGCGCGCTGTGTCCAGAGCCGGCCGGTGGCCGGATTCTCGATCATGGCCATGTCGCCAGAGTCGAGCTGGTACTTGAAGAGGTCGCGGGCCAATAAAAGGAACGGCCGCTCTGCCCTCCAGATCCGCCGGAGCGCCTGCTTGGCCTGCGGCGTCCGAAAGTTGAGGTGCGTGATGTTCGTGTAGTAGTGCAAGGTAGCTCGATTGACACGAACTTCGGCCTTGAGGCGTAGCACAGGTCGTACGTCGCATCGAGGTCCTTCTGCTTGCGTAAGTCCCATCCGTGCTTGCGGTCGATCACCTCTGTGGCCGTCATATGGCGCTTCCACGCCGCCTCGGCAATGCCGCCTTCGCCTCCGAACACTTGCATGACGTCCACGCGGTGGCTGCGAACGCTGTAGGCCTCCCTGACGTTCTGGACGTGGTCGACCAAGTCTCGCGCAGCACTGGTGGCATGCTGCACCACTGGCTTGAGAGGCCTAGCCAGCCAGTCCGCGGTGAGCACCGTCTGAAAGGCAAAGGCGCAGCCCGTGACCTGGTAGAGGAGGCCGACGCGCTTGCCCTTCTTGATGCCTGGCCGCCGCCTCGGGGCTGGCGACCCGTCCTGGCGGCCACCGCCGCCTAGTCTCGGCTCTGCTGAGGTTCCCGGGAGCCGCTCGGGGGATCCTCCTTGTCGGTCTCGCCCGCCTTCTCGAAGCCCATGTCGCTGGTGCCCATCTCGTGCGGCTCCGGAGGACGCTGGCGCCGATGCCCGGCCCAGCTCCCCTGGCTTGCTGAGGCCCTCGCGGTCGTCGCCGCCGGCGCCAAACACTCGTCGCCCAGCGCCACCTCCTCGGCCATCACTACCTCCAAGGTGGTCTTGGCCTTCTCCGGGGGAAGGGGCTGCACTCCGTGCGCCTTGACCCACCTGGCGAATCGCGCCAGGAGCGGGATTGCCCGGTGGCTGTTGAGCTCCAGGACTGCCCACTGCGCGTAGCCCAGGTCGTTCTTGAGCACCCAGCGGTAGTCCGCCGTGGGGTACTTGCCGAAGCGCATCTTGTCGGCCCCGGTGATCTGCGAGCTCGGATGAGCCACCGTTGCCGAGGCACTGCTGGCCGCGTCCTCGACCTTCCAGCCCTTGAGGCGCTGCCTGGGCTCCGGCACGGTCGCGCGCTGGTCGAACTCGATCTGGCGGTCCCGGCACAGCTGCTGGAGCTCCTCCTTGCTCTTCTTGCCGAGCCCCGGGATGTAGTCGCCCTGCGGCGTGCTCTCGCGGCCCTCGGCCCTCAGCGCACGCAAGATCACCCGGAGCTGGTCGCACGTGGCGTCGCGCACATCCAAGTCGTAGCTTGCCACCTCGGCCTGCAGCTCCGGCATCCGCATGCTGGATATCGCCGGGAGACGGGCAGTACTCGTCGTCGGCAAGTTCTGGCCGCTGCCCCCCGGGCTCGTCTCCTTGGGAGATGTCGTACATCGCTGGTGCGACGGGGGCATAAGCGCTGGCCGCTGGTCCGTGGAAAGCTGCGGCGGCTGGATCTGCCACGGCACGCGTCGCACTCGCTGGTGGAGCCACAGTTGAACTCGAGCCGGATGGCTGCGGTGATGATGTAGTTTGATGACTGCGTGCTGATGGCTGATTTCGTGGCTCGCTACGGTTTGCTTGCTGCTGAAATCGAACATGCCGTGACGGAAGATCGCTGCGAGGTTTAGCTCCTCGTTCGTCATGATCGTGGTTTGTCTGCATAATCCGCGCTGTGCTGACTGACCTAGTACGCACTCCCCAGGCCTCGTCTTCCGATCCCGACGACGATTGACGTGATGGAATGTATGCGCTCATGGCCTGGCGCACCTGCTGCTCGAACAGTTCGGCGCTATCGAGCGCGTCGCAGTCAGTGTCCGACTGAGACTCGTCGGCCTCCGAGGCTACCCCTTGGTGGCGAGCCTCGGGCACCACCGGCTTGGCGGCGCTGGCCACAGCCGTCTCAGCGCGATAAGAAGCACAAGGGTGGAGACGAATCTCGGCCTTGGTATCCGAGACGTCCGAAACGGGCTTGTAGCCCGGCGTGAAGCCTGTGATGTCCAGCGTCGGGTGTCCGGCGCGGCTCAGGCCCATCTGGATGTCGTGCTCGTCGATCGACTTGATGTCCAGCTTGTTGTCTCCGGCGTGGTAGACGATGTCCAGCTCGCTCTGGGCCTTGCGGCTGAACAGTCCTGGCACGGCGCTGCGCACGATGCTCATGCGGACGGCGAAGGCCTTGCCCTTCACCGAACAGGGGATCAGCGCCGCCTTGAGGCTGAACACCACCTTCGACGCCCCGAACCGGAACGGCTCCTTCTCGGGGTACTCGATGGGCTGGATGTTGAAGGCGGCCAGCCTCTTCTTGATGTCGTTGTACCAGTCGAGGCCGCCGACGCACCGAGTGCTGGCCGCGTCGAAGGTCAGCTTGCCCCCCGACTCCTTCAGCAGGTCCTCGACGCTGAGGTAGATCAGCGCCGAGCTCGTCGCGGCCATCAGGCACTGGTGGTCCTTATTGATGAAGAACGCCGCCGCCGTAACTTCTTCGGGTAGCTCGGCGGCCTGGCGGATCTGCGTCCAATCAATGCTGTGCAGCGCGCCGTACTTCCTGTCGCGAGCCGCGGCCCGCTGGTCCTGCTGGTAGACCGCCGCGACCGTCATGTCCGCCACGTGAGGCTCCTGCGTGTCGCTGGTCTCGTGCGTGGCGATGTTCGTCCTGTTGCTTCCCTTCTTCGGGATGTCGGCCTTGGCGTTAGGGTCGTTCTTCTTCGAGCACTGCGGGTCACCGTGCCAATGGCCCTTCTGGCCTCATGCGCCGCAGTGTGTCCTTGCCTTCATCTTGGCGATATTGGGATCGTCTCTCTTCGGCGGGTTGCCGCCGTCGCGCTTGGCGAAGTAGCCACGCGCCTGCTTCGCCTCCTTCAGCTTGTCCTTGGCGCGCGCCATCTTCTTGGTGAAGAACGCTACCTGCTCCTCCGCCTCGTCGATCACGTCCTGCAGCTCGTCGGGCAGCTCGTCCTCGTAGTCGTCGGAGCTGTCTGAGGACGCGCCGTCGAGCTCGGCCCTACGATCCTCCTCGTAGATCTCCGTGGCGTACGCCCGCTTGTGGTCCTTGTTCTTGTGACCTCCGTAGCCTCCTTTGTCGCGGCTGTCCTTGTTGCCGTCCACGACCGATACCTTGGGCAAGTTGATCATCCACTGCTCCTGGATCTTGGTGGGGTTGAACTGATTGCCCACACCGTTGAGCACGCTCGCCGCGCGCTCTGGGGGCAGGCGGGCCCCCTTGATGTACAGGTCCGCCAAGACCTCGTCGGGCACTTGGATGCCCTTGGCCTTCAGCTTGGTGGCGATCCCATTGAAGCGGTTGTTGTAGTCGCGGATATCCTCGTACACGTGCCGGACGCAGGCCGGGCGCACGAAGGTCTCCAGCAGCGCCGGGGTCTCCAGCACCTCGATCTCGGGAAAGCGCTTCCCGAGGTACTCCAGGAACACCTCCACTGAGTCGTCGCCCTTGATGGCGTCCAGGTCGAGCTCCTCGCACGCCTCTTCGGCCTTGCCCTTCAGGCTGGCCAGCAAGGTCGCTCCCTGCTTGGGCGGCTTGACCTCGGTCCCGATCTGCCAGGTGGCGACCTCTCGGCGGTACTTCTTCATGGTCTTATTCGTGCCATCGAAGACGGGTACGGGGATCTTGCCCCCGTTGCTCTTGGCCTCGCCGCTGGCTGCAGCGGCTCCTCCTGCCGTCGCCATGGTGGCAACCTCGAATGAGAGGTACAGTCACAATCCAAATCACGAGCCTGTAGTGCTTGCTAAGTGACTCTGCGAAGTCGCGCACGTAGCTGCCGTGGTCGAGTTAGCTCCGCTACCAATGCAGACCCGATACTGCGATGAGGGGTCTGAGTGCGATGATAACCGCGAGGTTGTCGTTGTCAGCAATGACGAAAATATGTCAGCAATATATCAGCAATGATAGGCGATGGTATGTTGCTTAGCGGCACCTGCAGAGGTGTCTACCGATACGCCCAAGCTCAAGGGCCCTCAAAAGATTGAGCCCAAATAGTTACGAAAGGGCATGTTACCTTCCGTCTGAATATTAGCACATATGCTACACTGTTTACAGATCAGCACTGATACTATTTATTTCACAACTAAGCTGCCTCCTCATGCTGCGGGACGCGCGCCGAGGTTCCAGTCGAGGCAGGTCTCTCGCACTTACCATTCTACCCGCTCTCCTGCCCCCGACCTCACCAGACTCTCCCTGTTGACCTCTCCCTCCCTGCACTCCTCTCGGGCGGGCGGCAATGGGGGGGTGACCTGATCGGATCGGATCGGATCGCATGTGCGGGCATGCGCCCGGGCCCCCCATGGGCGAGGCGGGTGAGGCCATAGCCTCGCATGAGAGGCAGCACGCGTCGGAGGCTTGCTCAGGATAATGCGTACCTCACGAGTTGATGTTCCAATCGTTCCCGCTCCTCTGGTTTAACCCGATGTAGTGACGCAGTTCCGTTGAAGTCGTAGCGCCTGTAGCGTGAACCTGTCGCGGAGAATCCCGTGGATGCCATCGCCCTTTCTGTAGCGCGACCTGAAAGGGGGGGTGACCTGGATGGGGGGGTGGCCCGAAGGGGGGTGACCTGAGTGGGGGGTGACCCGAACGGGGTGAAGACAAGGGCCCTGGGGGTGACCTGGATGAATGGGGGGTGACCTGGATGAATGGGGGGTGACCTGGATGGGGGGTTGACCTGGATGAATGGGGGGTGACCTGAATGGGGGGTGACCTGAATGGGGGGTGGCCCGAAGGGGTGAAGACAGGGGTCCTCAAGGGGCCTGTGGGGCCCCCGCGGGCTCCAAGAGGGACCCTGCAGGGCCCCTTTCGGGCCCTTTCTCCAAGCCCCTTTCAGGTTTAAGTCGGGCCTGTCCCCCTAGAGGGGGATTTTCGACGAGAAAAAAAAATCAACCGAAAAGGTCAAAAAAACTCAAAAAAAAAATCCCCTGGCTACTTTTGGAACATTTTTGGACTATTTTTCGGGTATGTTTTATTTTCGTCGAAAATCCCCCTGTAGGGGGACAGGCCCGACTTAAATTTAGATCACTCCCCATCGGTCGGAAGAAGTAGGTAGAACCATGAAGTAGGAAGGCGTTGGAAGCAGATTGGGCTTCTGCCAGCCTCCTGCAGAGGAGGGAGAATGGAAAACCACTCAACTCTTGAAGTAGGAAGGCGGCTTGAATAGATTGGACTCTGGGACTCCAAAAATACCTACTTTCAGCGACCGATGGGTAACCCCGTCCGATCCTCCCCCTCCCGTTCGCATTCGGCTGGCCTTCCAGGAGCCACTCCTCATTCGGCGGCGAGCGAGGGGGGAATGAGAAGGAGAAGACCTTCTCAGAAGACGGCGGGGCTGCGCAGAAGCCCTCCGGTCTTCTGAGAAGCGTTCGGTGTCTTTGGGGAAGGTTTAGCAAACCTCTCGGAAGAGGAGGCCTTCTCCTTCTCACTTCCCCGCGTCCCAAGCCCAACTCCCTCTCTGAAGGGGCCCTGGGAAACACAAATAAATAGACACATATTTTCACATATTTTCTGGGTTTTCGTCTTCCCCCCCGCTTCCCATATTTTCCGATATTTTCGGGGGAATCGACGATTACTTGAGTCTGTGTGTTTTCTGCCTGGCTGCACTCGAGGATGGTGTTCTTGGCGCGCCGATGACGGCAACACCAATCCACTTCGCCTCTGGGACCGCGCCCCCTGCTCCAGTCCATGGCGCACCTTGTCCTGTGCAAGATCTTCGGCACCGCCTATTTTCTGAGCCCTCCGGCCGCCTGAGTCCCCGCCCGCCCGCGCCCTGTCTCCCCAATTAGGGCTACCCGCGTCCCGTTTAGCTCTTGACCGGAAGGGGCCCGCTCCCGACCCGCAGACCAAAAATACATAGACACATATTTTCCCATCTTTTCTGGGTGTTCGTCTTCCCCCCATCTTCCCATATTTTCTTATATTTTCGGGGGAATCGACGATTACCTGTGTCTGTGTGTTTTCTGCCCTCCTGACTCTCGTCGTCCAGTGCCCGTTTTGCCCCCGCCCGCCGCTCCGGCTGCACGGCCGGGGCGTGCGGGGGGGGCTGCTGGTCCGTGGCCTGGCAGGGCCGCCTCTGCGCTGCTCGCGAGGGCCGACCCGCATCCGTGAGCAGCCGGGGGCCCCGCGCGCGCTGCGTGTGGCCTCTCGCCGGCCGTCCTGAGCGCTCTGGCGGCGGAGCGAGCCGCCACGGGTAGCCAGGCCAGGACTTTGTGGCAAACATCGAGGTTGGCATCGTCGGGGCGTTCTTTCAGGAGGGAAAGAAACACACAGACACAATTCATCGTCGACGTCCAGGAAAATATGGGAAAATATAGGAAGTGGGGGGGCAGACAAAAGCCCCCCCCCCGAGGGGAAAGGCTTGTGGATGTCATGACAATGGACACTCCAACAATCCCATCATTGACTTACAAAAGAGATCACGTGCAAAACGTGTTCTGAAAATGTTTCAAGCCTGTCTTTACATACTTAAAAACATGTCGGACACATGTTTTAGGCTAGACATCTGGAAATTATTTGACAGCACGCTTCCTCTCCATTAATCGACTTCCACAAGGAAAGGCCGGGGGGGAGACTGGCTCGAAGGGGGGGGGACATCGTCCTGCAATCGGCGATAAAGTCCACACGTGCCATGAGGATGCGCGGTAGGGATGCAAGGGCCTTGGAGGACCCTGTGAGCGTTTTTCGAACGAGGTTGGCCAGCCAAAGTCGCCAAGGATGGGCCGACGGGGCAAGGATGCAAGGGGTACCCTTGCGAAGGTTGCCCATCCTTACTATGCGGGTTGACTGTACGTCGCCGATAGATCGGCGATGGGCCCCCGACTGCAAATCCCCTCTGTCCTGGGCGGGGTGGGCTATCGGGCCTCTGTCGACGATGAATAAGCCATGTTGGTTCGATGCATCCCCCCTGAACCTATGCCCCCGTATCGTTGCACCTGATCCCCCACCCAGGGCGCGCATTGTCCGAAAGCGTGCTCTCTGGCGACCTTCCCGACCGGGACAGCCAAAGGGTGGGCCGAGCAGGCTGCAGGACGGCCCAAATCAACCCAAAGACAGCCCGACGATCTCGAGATGGTCTAAGAGGGTCCTGAGACGGTCCTGAAACGGCACAAGAGGGCTTCAAAACGGCCCAAGAGTTCCCCAGCACGCACCAACAAGGCTACTGGAGGACGCACAGGAGGCCAACATAGGCAAAATGCAACGGTTTGGGCATGCATGTTCGGGATTCTAAAAGCCCAAAACGATGCAAGAGGCCCCAAATATCGACCCGGCACAGCCCAACAGGCCCCCAAGACGACCCAAGAAGGCCCAGGACGGCCCAAGAGGCCCCCCAGACGGCCCCAAGAGGAGCCAAAGACGGGGAACTCGAATAGGTCCCAAAGAAGTCTCCAAGAGGCCTCCAATAGGCTCACAACCGAACAACGAAAGCCCCAAAATAACCCCAAAATAGTCCCAAGAGGCTGTCAATAAGCCTCAGAAAAGCCTCCAAGACAAGCCTCCAAGATGCCTTCAAGAGGGACGAGAGAGGAGAGGGAATAGAAGAAGGAGCGATGAGGGAGGAAGAGGATCATAAGGCTGCGGGAAAGGAGCTTGTGTTCAAGACCCTCCCCAGTTCAGCGCCATGTCTGAAATGAAGCGGGTCTTAAACGAAGCCTCCTTCCTGCTGCGCAGCTGCGCTGCTGCGCTGCTGCACCGGCGGTGCTCGTCGTAGGCAGCTCGATGCTTCCTTACGCGTGCTGTTCTTCCGCCCCTTCTCATGATTCCTCTGACTCGTCGTGCACGTCTTCCTGCTCCTGTTTCATCGTATTTCTGCTCATCCCTTGCAGTCATCGTGCTGCCAGAAAGAACGCCAAAGAAGGAACGAAGGGGCTTTTCTGGCTACGACGAGCCTCGTCCAAGAACAGGCTCCTCGATCTGGACCTGAGGAACGGCCTGAAAACCAGAGCCCCTCCTGACCCCAAAGTGGTCCGTGTTTCAGAATATCGGCCGCATGCATTCCAATCTCCATCCCTCTCCCTGCCCTGCTCCTTCCCCTCTCTTCCCACCGTGCTTTGCCGTTTCCCCGTCCTGCTCCTGGTTTCCTCATTAACCCCCTTTTACCATTGCTCCTGCCCCTCCGCGACGTTCTTCGTTTCCTCCGCCGCCTACAGCCATCGTGCTACCAGAAGGAACGCAAAATGAGGAACGAAGGGGCTTTTCTGGCCACGGCGAGCCTCGGCCACGAACAGGTTCCCCGACCTGGGTCCAAGGAACGGCTCGAAGACCAAAGCCCCTTTATGAACCCAAGGCGATCCTTCTTTCAGCGTCTTGGCTGTACTCCTGTGGTTCCTCCGCCGCCTTCCCCGTCGCCCTCGGAAAACTGCTGGGGTGTGATGGGGTACCCGTGGGATGACAAAAATCGGGATCGGCTCGTGGGGCCACATCGGCAGTATGTGAGGGTTGCGACGGATCTTGGAAAATGCGCCTCGGGGAGATCGTCGAGCTCTCTGGGGATGGGTCATTGGGTGGCCTGGGGCTGGTGAGGGCCAGCTAATTAGAGGCTCAATGCTACCGGAAGCATCGCTGGGAATATCCAGGCAGGCGACATCGAGGAATGTTGCCGGAATGCTCCCTGGGGATCACCCGAAAGGCTGCCTGTGCGAGGAAGGCCGATCCAAGAGCACCCGTCGAGCCAACCGACTCGGGAACACTTGGGACGAACTATCGCACGAAGGCACGAGACGCCCCCGGGGTCCTCATCCTCAACCTCCACATCCGAGTCCTCCCCCATCGCACCCCTTCCCCACCCATCCCCCATCACCCCGCCCCCGTCTCTGCCTGCGAGTTCCTCTCCGACATCCCAGTCGGCTCCCTCGTCGCCCGACCCGCCCGCCATCAGCCGTCCCTCGGCTGCGGCTGCCGAGGGCCGGCGATCACCCGGCCCCATCCCGGGCATGCCACCAGGAGA